CTCTCTCGTATTTTCCCATAGCTTCCCAAACTCTTGTAAATCCCCTTATGCTTTTGTTTATAAAGTCAGTTATTCCATTGTTTTGTTAATGGATAGCCATATGGTTGGGCAGAATTCTAATTTTTCATCTCATTTTCTTTTTTCTTCTTGCAGCATCTTTGTAAAGGTTTTTTTGGGTTATTAGGTGAGTTCTTTATGAACTAGCTACTTGCAGGACTCCACACCATGTCCCACCCCAGTAGGAATCCTTGTGACCCGAGGGGTGTGTGTGGTGTTCCCGTGGGTGCCTCTTACTCTCTGCCTTAGTGGCAGGCGGCGTCCTGCTGACATGGCTCACCTATGTGGTTTCCATGCTGGCGCCCGGGCAAGCGCCGAGTGCTGTCTTGCACATTTGTTCCCCTTGTCCCCGGAAAGTATTGCTGGGTCTGTTGCTAAGGATGTTCTACTTATTTGGGGAACGTGGCTCTGCAGGCGCTGTCAGCCTCCCCAGCATTTTCCTCCTCCTCTGTCTGACCTTCACCGCCACTTGGCAGTTCCTTCTCACATCTTGTGGTTTGGAGCCGCAGATGGCTTTGTTTCCTCAGGGACGATGGAGTTTGCATTTGCGTGTGTGTGCTCCTTATTGCTTTTGGGTGAATTCCAAGAGGAAATCTTTAAGCCAGGGTCCTCTGACAAGACAGCTCTAGTCTTTAATCTTTTCTCTGCCAGTTACAAATTTTATTTGTTTTTTTGTTGTAGTTATTTTCCTTTTAACTAACTTTTCACATAGATCTAAGGAATACAGTTTCACAGCTTTTTCACTTTTAGGTCTGGATTGATCAGGTTAGCAATAATGTATCACAAGGAAAGAGAGACTCATTTCCTTTACTTTGTTCCTTAAGGAATTCAGAAGCCAGAGGGACTCAGAGAGGCAAAGTCAGAGTAGAGCGTGGGTGTTTATAAACCCGAGGCCTTGGGGCCCTTAGACTTATTCACCTGGAAGGCATGTTGTGTCACCGAACTCCCCAGTTTGGATACCAAGGCATCAATTGTGGCTCCCATTTATGACTTGCTAGCATTCCTCAGATATTCCCTTGATGTTCTTAGGATGCTCAACTCAGAACTCTTGGCTGGATTTCTATTTGAATTAAACAGTACTTTCCATGTACAGCAACAGTCTGCAAGCAAGTAAGAAAATGGAAAGTGTGACTACATTGTTGAAATGTCAGTAACCAGAAGTAGAAATAATATAGGTGGTGAAGTCATTCAAGGACTAAAGAAAAATGAAATTAAAGTACCAAATATTTATTAACACTAATTTAATTTTTAAATGCCAGTGTGCTAAAAATTACAATATATATTCATCTAGGACTCTTGGGCCACAGGGAGCAGATGCAGGGCCTTATGCTTTGCTTAGGGAGGACCAGAAAAGGTGCATTTGTAGGAGGGGCCCTGGTAGCTTTGAGGTGGGGTGACATGGGATAGTAGGCCCTTCCTCTCTGCCACCAGCTCTCTGATGGGGATCCAAGCCACAGTCAGACCCGTATCTCCTGGAATCAGAGTGGTAGTAGGCAGAATGGCTGGGTCCAGCACAAGTGACCAGGGCAGGACCTGTCCACGCTGGGGGCCTGTAGTGGAGAGGCTCAGCAGTGGGCAGTGAGGATGGTTCTAGGGGCAGGAAGGGACCAACAGCAGAGTGGAAACAAGTGCAAAGAGGAGGCTGGGAAGTGGAAGGCAAACTGGGCCAGTGGGTTGTTTCCTCTGGACGTTGCATTTTTTTTAACCAGGAGATGATGAATAGAAAAGATACAGGGAAGTAGTTTTGCCTGGTTTGTGAAGATTATTTTAAATACAACTGACTTATAATTAATTAGATGTACCCACAGTTGATTCGTTGGCTGTACTGGTGATCTGTTTTCCACTTGGAGGTCAGGCACTGTAAATGTTGTACGAGGTCTTGTCCCACCTCTCAAGACTGATAGATGAATTAAGCCAAGCACAGATCACACAGCTCATCAGATTAGAATCATGTTCTTATGAAAAGCTTATTTGGGGCAGTAACTAGAAAGGCACTTGTATAACAGGCCTGTGAAATCAAAGATGGGCATTCAAAAAAGAAGGAGTGGTTCTCAGAAAGCCTGGTCCTGACCCAGCGTTGCCTCGTCACAGACCCCATCTTAAAGGACTGATTGCATGGGAACCAATAACGGTCTCTGAAGGCTTTGGTGGAAACTTGGTGGGAAATTGAGTGTGGGAGAAGTAAGCTGTAGGTGGGCTGCGATCAGACCCTTGCCGTGTGGGTTGGAGCCCCAGGTGGGTGAGGTGACTCCATGGCTTCTGGTCTGCTGGCTAGCTGTCTGTGTCACAGGGAGAATGTAGGGGTTTTGCTGAGAGGAAGGGAGGGGTTTTCATATGGGATTTTGTGGGAAACTTCTGGAAACCCAACTCGTCAGAAGGATGAGCATGAGTTGGGCCAAGAGCCTACAAAATAAGATTTATGAATTGGACTTCCCGAAGGAGGAGAGAGCTGAAGGGCGACTTGTTTTCACCCCTGTGAGTAAGGCACAGCCCTTGGCTCCCCACCTCACAATACCGGTGACCCCTGGTGCCCCTCCTGTGGCTTTCTTTGTCACTAAGTGCCCACAGGCTCGTGCTTTGCAGGCCTCTTTCCCATCCTCTCCATTGACTGCTGTTTGCCAGGGCTGCCCTAACAAAGCACAGGTGGTGGCGGTGGCAGTGGGGGGTGGCGAGGGCTTCAATGGCAGAGGTGTGGAGGCTGGAGACGCAGAGCACGGTGCTAGCAGGAGTGGCCTCTCTCCTTGCTTGCAGACGGCTGCCTTCTCCGCTGTCCGCACATAGCCTTTCCTCTGTGCCTGCACATCCCTGGTGTCTCTCTGTGTCTAAAATTACACCTCTTAACAAGGCACTGGTCAGATTGGATTACAGCCCATCTTAATGGCCTTATTGTAACTTAATTACCTCTTTTAAGACCCTTTCTCCAAAAAGTTGTATTCTAAGATACTGGGTGTTAGGGCTTCAAGGTAAGAACTTGGGGGACACAGTTCGGCCTGTAACACCCCCACGACTCAGCACGTCTGTTCCTTATCCCTCTTTGGTCCCCCTCCCACTCCCAGCATGCACTGCCTACACTTCTGCCGGGGCTTTCACTCCTGCAGGGAGTGGGGCCGAGCCCGTGGCCCACATCCAGCTGTGAGAGCCCCAGCCTCAGGCTGCCCCTAGGGTACCTGACCTTAGATGCTGCCCCCACACTCTCCCCTGACTTAAAACGTTCTGGTCATTGTTATGCTGTTATTTCCTCCTCTCAGTAGCTAACCATTGACACCACCTGGTTAACTTTTCCAGGAAAGTGGGTTTCATAGCATCACCTTACTTTTCATCACCGCCATCCAAGAAAGCCCCTCAGGCATGAGTTGGTGCAGTGGCTTTGTAACTGGACACCCCCAGCCCAGATCATCCTGACATTCATTTTTCTAAAATTCTACTTTGGTTTAGTTATTACTCTATGCAGTGGCTCTCTGCTCTGCAGGGTGCAGACCGTTTCTCAGCTAGGCACTTGAGTTGCTGTACAGCACAGTTCTGCCCAGTTGTTCAAGGGTATTTGGGCTGTCCAGCACTGGTTCGCCCTCGTCCACCCGTACGCCATCCTGTTCCTGCCGCACAGCTTTGCTGGTGCTGCCGTGCTTCCCGGGAATGCCTTACTGCTTATGTGTTTCCGCCTCCTTCCACCTTACCCACACTGGGGACTGCGATGATTTGATTTCAGTTCCTATCTTCTCCATGGTGGAAGGTCCCCTTTCCCTTTTGAAAATGACTCCATCTCACGCTGAAATCTTATTCCTCTGTGCTCTTGTGACACTTAATATATGGCTGTAGTATCAGTCACCAAGTCCAGTCACCAAGCAGCCATTATTAGACTCCACTTTATACCTGGGACTGTGCCTAGGCAGGTGCTGAGAGCCACAGCATATTCAAGATTTGGTTCCTGCTGGGGGGTGGTTGCGATGACTTTGGGGAAGTAGTAAGGCAAACGGGCGTGGGCTTGGCCGCCACGCTGAGGCTTGACGGGGGCATGAGCACAGAGCGGGCAGCAGTACCTGAGCTCTGTCCAGGTGTTGAGGGTGTGAGAGTTGAGCTGAGTTTTAATGTTATGGTAGAAGTTTCCAGATGGAGAAGGAAGGAATGCAAAGTATGCAGCCAGAGAAAGTCATACATGTGAAGATGTGGAGCCAGACGGGCAGCAGGAGGGGAGTGGGGACGGCGTGGGGACGGCGTGGGAGAAGTGGGGTCTGTTTGTAAAGGTGATTGTGTTTTGTTTTTAGGAAAATAACTTTGTCCATACTATAACATCTAGAATGATTTCTCGGGAGGAGAACAATTGGTGGGGTGGAGGGGTTGGCAGGAAAGAAATGAATTAGGTAATTATAATCAAAACAAGCAGAAGAAATCGAGAGGAGCGACCCCATCTTACACCCTTATGTTTGTGTGAGTATATGTTGAGGTTCCTCAACAGATGATAAACTCGAGAGCCACATGTGTATTCTACCTGTTTAGCTTTCTAATACCCATATTACTTAGTACATTAGTGTATCCATTAAAGGTTATGAGTGAATGCTAATGATACGGCTTAGGCACTGTTTTTTATCATCCCACCAAACTTGAAATGTGTAAAAAGTAGTGCCTAGCTCATTGCAGACACTGAATAATAAGTTGAATACAACTGAATCTATGGTATGAATAATTAAGAGCTGACTGTAAAACCAGGAGAGAGGAAAATATGTAAAAATATGCAAAAGAATGAAATATGCACAAATGTTCCCATGCCTTGATTTGTTGAAGATGCCATTGTCAGCAAATGTGCTGAGCCTCACCCCGTGTGAGTCCTACCCTGGTGTGAGTCGGGGGAGCCCCACGATGCCGGAGAGACGATGGCAGGTGTGGCTCAGGTGCTTTAAATGAGTCTCCTCTTCTGATGTGTTTTTCTTTCTCATGGCTTCCTGCAGATTCTAAATAATCTGCCTCCATCATGGGAGAAATAGAGCAGAGGCCAACTCCAGGATCGCGACTGGGGGCCCCGGAGAATTCGGGGATCAGTACCTTGGAGCATGGACAGAAACCGCCCCCAACACCATCAGGAGGAAAACTCATGTCCATCAAAATCCAGATGCTGGACGATACCCAGGAGGCATTTGAAGTCCCAGTAAGTTGGGGTTGTGTCTGTGAACTCAGGCGCCCAGGCAGCCTTTGGTGTGGGGGACGTTATTCTCGTTCCTGTGTTCCAGGGCCGTGAGGTGGCAGGAGGAGAGGCTATGTGTCCGAAACTGGCCTCCCCGCCCCCATCACGGGGTCTGAGCTGTCCGGTTTCTAGATTTATTCATGTATTGCCTATATAGTGATATCAATGGGTGTGTGCTTGAGTTTTGCTATCTTTCCATATACAAATGTATGTGTGACACTTGTGTACATATGTATTTATATACATAAATGTGTGAATTGGAGGGAACTGTGATCTTGTGGAGGGATCTCAGTTTGGTTGGCTTATTATAGGCATTCCGCACACGGTACCTGGGTGCTTGTGCATGTGGTGTGTATGCACATGCACATGCCACCTCTAGACGACAGGTAAAAAAAATCCTGAGAAAAAACATCAAAGAGCCATCTTCATGTTTTCCTGTCAGGAGAGAGCTGACTGTCTTTGAGGGTGGAGGTGCGGGGGTGGAGAAAAATCCCAGTCCAGGCCCACAGTATGACAGCCCCGAAATGGAAGAGGCCTGCCATCCCTGGGTCGGGAAAGGGGGGTTCTGGGAGCCAGACAAAGAAGGAACCAGCAGCCTTGGTTGGTGGGAGAGCTCACTTAGGCCCTCCCCCACCCGCCCCCTGGTTCTGCTGTTTCCATCAGGGACCCAGCTGCATCCTTTCCCCCCAAACCCCTCCTCTTCCTGCTAGAGGTTAGGGAGCAGCAGCCAGTTAGGTGCTGACGGAGGGTTTCTTCTTCCCAAGGCAGGGAGAGTAGACGTGTGTCTAGCTTCTGGAACCCAGACTGCACCTACTTTAGAATCGTCATTCCTTGCATGGACCAGGGGCTGTAGACCCGGTAGCACACTCCAGCTTTAGTTCCCTGTGTTCTATCATTGTTCGTGGGAGAAGAAGAAAGCTCTTAAATTCCAAACAGCCAACTTATAAACAAATTTTGTGAACATAACCTGTTTTTGAAGTGGATACGATCTGTCTTTTGTTTTTGGCCAGAGGGACTGAAATTTAATAGTTGGCATTAATGCCTGTAACCCATCATTCAATCATTTATGTGATATGATTCACTAAATTATATTCATTTCAGAGAATAGTGTTCAGAGAGTGTGAATTACCATTAAGTGTCTCAGGGAATGATAAACCTCAGAATAGCTATGTTTGAAACTGCCGATTATTGCACATTGCAAACAACCTTTGTATCCTTCCAATTTTCTTGTGGAAATCGTGTCTTTCAAAGACTTGGGAATGTCTTTGTGTTCTGGCGATCAAGGCTGTTGCTAATCTGCTGGAATATAAAAATAAATCAAGGAGTGCACCTGCCAGCCTGTTAGAATGAGGCCCTCCGGAACAGGCACCTCCTCCCTCCTCCCCGCAGTTTTTTCTCTTTGCCAGACTGGTTTGGCGAGGTACTTAGTTTCAGTGTTTCTACTGATGCTGTTAAGGACTTCTGAGCCCAGGTCTGTGCAACACATCCTAGTAAATGGTGCTCCTGAGTGTGGTTTGGACTGAGGAGCTACAGGTGTTACTGTTGTGTGCACAGACTGCTGGGGGGCACGTGTGCTGTTCCATTGCAGCGTCTCAGTGTCCTTAAATCAAAAGAAGCCAGACTCTCTTCCTAGCACCTGTTTAGCTGGGAACTGTGTAGGCACTTCCTGCCTACGAAGTAGGAATAGAAGTGTGTTTTCATCTTCCAAAATTATTCTATTTGCTAATTTCTGACGTCTATGCTTTGCATTAGTAGTCCCTTTGTCTAGAAGGATCTTTTCTCATTCCCTCCCTGATAAACTCCTGTGCACCCTTAAAGGCCCTATCAGTTTTACCCAGACACTAACACCTTGAGGAAGTGGCTGGGCTTTTTCTATCCTCCTGCAGACCTCTTTCCTCATATACTTAATCAGGGTGGAGTTGATCTGCCTGGGATCAAATCCCAGCCTCTGCTACTGACTCACTGATCACTTTGGACAAGGTACCTTTCTGTATCTCCATTTTCTCCCCTGTAAAATGCGGTTGTTAATAAACCCTACCTTGTATGATTATGAGCATAAAAGAGAGTCGATACAAGTAAAATGTTTGGAAAAACTTTTGGCACAGACTAAGAGCTGAATACAAGTATGATTAGTGGCGCTAATGTGCACCAGCCTCTTCACTGCTCTTTAAAGCAGTAATGTTATCTTACTGCTGTCTCATTCCCAGCACCTAGCACAGTGCCTGGCATGCAGTAGGTGCTCATTAAATGTTTGCTGGCTGAATGTTAGGATGAGTTTATTTTACAAGTAGATGTTAGTTTTTTCACATGCCTCATCCATTCATATTTTATTTTTATTTTTCTACTTTGAATATTCCTTCCCAACCAATGGGTAACAGATGTTTTCCATGACTGCCTGTAGAAAGGCCGATATCAGCATCTCTATTGACGGAGCTGATTCTAATTGCTACCTTGTGTTCTTTGGGAAAAGAAGCAGCTGGGAGGCATCGGGCTGGCCATGGTGACTCATTCCCAGTGCTCAGGATTGGAGCACAGTGACGCGGGATTGCAGGAGACCCCGCTCCCCATAGCTGCTTTACACTTTAGCTCCAGATTCTTTCACTGTGAACTTATCAGGGCTGGGTGTATGACCCTGGAAGTGTCCCCCTCGCCCACAGCTGAGCCCTCCCTTGATTGGGTGCCCCAAGAGAATGAATTCTCGTTGCTCACTCACATTTGCGACAACAGATGTGCAGGTCCCACGGCCAGAAGTCATTGCAGTTTCCCATTTGCAGGACATTCTTCTTTCCTTTGGGGACTGAATTTCCTGGGCCTTTTCTTTTTCCTTTTGTTTTAGAGTAGAATGTAGGCAAACTCATCATTTTAAATGCAAATTCCCCAGACACTTTCTGATACAGGTAACCAAGCCATAGTCCCTGTGGTGTCTCTATAATTGTTTATAGTCTTTAAAAAATTATTTAAGAGTTTAAGCTTTTGAAAGGCCTCGGCAGGGAGCGCTGGCCTTTTCCACACTGCTGTAGCTACTTCCTCCACCACCATCTTTGCTCTTGAACTTGGACAATCTCAAGTATTCCCTCTATAGAGTGCAAAGTTCAAGGCAGTATTTATAGTAAATTTTAACATGGCATGTTATCATTGTGTGGGAAATGCTGTGCAAATAAGCCTCACCCTGGGATTTATGTTATATGCTTCTCTCCCAACCAGAGATTATAAAAGGAAGTGATTCTTGTGGATCTGAAAGGGTTAATGACACTTGTCCCCTGCCAGGACCATCCATCCCTCCTTAAGGTCCCTGCAGGGGACTTCTGTGCCCTGTCCTCATAACCCTGTTGGTAAACAAGCACGGCTCCTACTGACGTCTGTAGGAAGAAGCAGATGGCTTCTTCCCCAAGTGTTTATTCAGTGTATGTGTTTTCATTAGCAAGGTCACTTCAGGAAGAATCCAGAAGAGCAAAAGATAGAAAAGAAGCCATTTTTTGCTGCTTCTGAGCAGCCCTGACCGCTCACAATACAAACGCTTGGGAAGGACAACACAGGTGACCAGACGCCTGGCCTTTGTTAACCTGGCAGGGGTGGCCTGGTGCATGTGGCTGACTGCGGCGCGGCCTTTCGGGAGCAACGCCACAGGTTAGTTGTGGCAGGAAGAGCTCACGTTGACCATCGCCTCCCTGGAAACGGTCCTCGTGCCTTTCTTGGGTTTGTGGCTTGTCGCTTTCCTCACAAGCTTTTATGGCACCCAGCTGCCTGCGGATAGAGGGTCGGCTGCTGGGGGAACCTTTCTCCCCGCTGTCCTCAGCGTTTTATCAGCTGTATTAGCATCGCAGGCCAGAAACTTCTATTTGTTGGCCTCCCCCAGGTGGAATGTGAGCCCTGAGGGGGCAGGGCCCTTCCTGGGCCCGTGTCACTGGACCCCACCCTGATTAGGGCCTGGACGCAGCACACACTGACCCGTGTAACCGACCTCCCCTGCCCAGTCGGTCACCCAACTCCAGTCGTGAGAGGTGGCTGGTGCTGTCTTCCTGTCGAGGTGAGGGGACCCAGGGATGAGCTTTTAGTCGCGGCCTCACGTCTGCACCGCACCAAGGCAGGACAGGGCCTGGCACCAGGCTTCTGACCCCTGACCTCCCTGCACCGAGCCACTGCCTCCACTGCTTCCAGTGTCCTGCCCCAGTGGGTCCTCTCAGACTTTCCCCCCATCCCCCGCTCCCAAGGGCAGGTCACACGTCCTCCCCCACCAAGCTGCTCCCACTCATCCCCTTCGGAAGTCTCAGCAGTGCCCACCTCCCTGCCCAATGCAGTCCCCCACCACAGCCACCCCGGGGCTCCTGCTGGGGGCCCTGGCTCCTTACAGCACTGGGCGTCTGTACTGCTCATTGGACTTTGAATTGCGGGCTCTCATCTCAACCCTCTCCCTAATTAGCTCCTTTCTGTCCCAGCGGAGACTCAGTTTGCTGATGGGCAAAATGAAATGTTGGGTCTACCTGACGCAAAAGGCTTTTTCTCTCCCTTGTTTGGAAGTCATGGCCATGTATTGACATCTTTATTGATGAATTGTTTTAACTTTTCATGATTAGTATTTGTTAATTCCCTAGGCAGATGGGAAACTCTTTGAGAAAAAGGATTTTTAATCTTAAAAATTACTAGAAAGCCCCCAAAACTTGACCAGATTCAGTCATCACTGTGTACCTAGTAAGTGCTAAAAGAGAGAGTAAGAGGGTGCGTGAGTCTACAGTGCTGACATGTGATATGCTGCTTATGGTGCGTCAGGCTGTGTCAGGATTTAATGGTGTGTATTGGGGGGGTTACATAAATTGGGCAAAACTATATGCCACTTGACAACAAGAGAGAGAAGACTGGGAAATCAAATATTTTCTAGACAACACATTAGGAAATAAACAAGATTGTTAAACAGAAAAGACATCAGATTTTTAAGAAAAGTGGTTTGCATGTCATAATAAAAGAGA